GAATGCAAACAATCCCATAGATGGCTGTTGTCAACTCCCTTTGTTACTAAATTCACAGCTTACCAGAGGCCACATTCATGTTTAGCAATGTGTGCCCAGTATCTCTATGACAAATAGCCAAGTAGGAATTGTCATTTTCTCTCTGCTGTGGACAAGGGAATTGCAACTTAGATAGTTGAAGCAACTTGTCCAAGATTGCACAGCCAGAAAGTGACAGAGCAGCAACCAGAACCCAGGTCTGTTTGACACCCAAGTCCCTTCTCAAACACTAGGCTACATCGCCAAGTACATGGATTTATTTCTATAAACAGGAGTCCCTCCCCACTGTTGAGAGACAACAGAAAATTCCAGTTGTATTGATCACAGGACCTGGCATACCGTAGGCACTCAATGGATAATCATTCAAAGAATGATCACGGGGGAGGAGAATGAACTAACATTTTTAACCACTGTGGCCAGGCTTCGGAGGTGGCAGTCAGATGCTGTCAGAGATACACTTGGGCTCAAACCTCAGCTCTATCACTTTGCAAGCTGTGTGACTGCGAGCTAATGGCTTGAATTCTCTGAGCCTCCTTTTCTCAGTTTGCAAGATGCAGCTCATGATACCTCCCCTGAAGACAGCTGCCAGGAAAAAATCAGCATTCCACCGTGAAGTGGCTCGCAGTATAATGTTGAAAGGGTCCCAGCTTGTCCCTGACTTTGTGTATGTGACTACCCCCTTCTACATGCGTGTGGTCACCTCCTGCCTTGCACCTTCCCACGGCAGCCTCCACGCCGTGCATCCCGGCTCCTGTGGCCCCACACGCTCCCCGCCCTTTGCAGAACACGGGCTGTAATCTATGTCACCTCTTTGGACTTGCGTGAGGATGAAGCCATCACAGCACGAGTCACGGTCACACGCGAGAACGCAGAAGAGATAAACGTCCCTCAGATCGGCTCCGGAGGCTGAGAACATGACAGGGCTGTACAGTCCAGAGAGTGTGTTTTGGAAACCAGTTGGTTCAAACCTCTTCTGACTTGTTGTGGTGAATTCTTGGCCTGGGGAAAACAGCAGGGAAAAAAATTTTTTTAAAAAAAATCTCAAAACAATGCAGTAGACCAGAGTGTGCTGGTTGTATGCCAGTGGGCCCTCTGATGGTGCGAGGGGCAGTGTGTGGCCTGAGATGAGACACTTTCTGTACCATGAAACTCCTCGATATGTCTGTGCATATGGAGCGTGGAGCCCATCATGGCCATGGTCCCAAGCCAGCCGACCTGGACAATTGCCCATGACACCTGTGAGTCTCTGAAGGGGGTGTGTGGCGAGATGGCCGCTGTTATTATTTTTATTATTACCAGCAAACATTTACTGAGCTCCAACTATACACACATGCTTTACCTACATGACGTCATTGCATTTCACTGTCCTGAGAGTTACGTCCGGCCCCCTCTGCTCTCACATGTGTTTTTGTAACGCAAAGCGGTTCAAACACACGGCAGTCAGGAAGCCAGGCCATTGTAACACTGAAGTCGCATCGGTTGAGCTACAGTTTTCCCCAGCACGTCACTGTCCTGTGCCATCTAACAACAGGTGAGTGCAAAACAGACAAAAACAGTGGAAGGCAGCAAGGTGCAGAGAAGCGGGACTGGACATGGCGGCCATCGGCCCACCGTCTTCCTCGCGCTTTTTGATGACTGCATTTCCCCTTCTCTTTGTGCGTCTGGCCCTCAGTCTCTGGAACGCAGCAGTCTCAGCCCTCCCCTGCACCCGCCCCCATCAAGCTACCTGCCCTTTTCACTTCTTGTAGCATTTCTTTGTGATGGGTTCAATGCTTTGTTTTTAAACTGGATTTTAAGTGCAATTATTACTGCTTTTGTCAGGCCCCTGGTTAGAAATGCCATGGTTTAGGTTCTGCCTGTCCCCGGCTCCAGTTTTCCCATAAGCCCTGCTACTCCCAGAGCATCCTTTTGCAAATAGGAGAATTCTTCAGGGATATATATACATATATATATATATAGTTTGCTTCCCCCACCAGCTCGGTTCCCTGGAGCCATTCCCTGCTGTTCAGGGCAGTAGTCTGAATAAAACGGCATGGCTCTTCCTTCATGCTCCAGGCTGCAGAGTCAAAGTGGGTGTAGACAAAGCGTGGCACGGACGGCAGGTCAAGCTGCCCCATCTTCCAGGTCACGTGAGCTCTGGCATGTGAAGAGACGTGCTTGACTGCCTCCTAGGTGCCACAGGCTGTACTGGAGGCCTTCCTTTCCCCCTCAGCTGGGACATTTTATTCCCATTTTACAGCAAGTAGAATAAAGGAGTCCTTCCTGGCCAGAGTGGGGGGCAGAAGTATGAAACCAGATGCAGTTAAATCTAACCTCCTTTCTCTCTCCACTATACCAGGATTCAGAATGGCTGGGTCTGTGCATTTTGTGCTAAAATTATTTTTTTTTGAAAAGGGCAAAACAAAACAAAAAAGCCAAACAGAGTTCTGCCCTTAATTAGTTTGGCAGCAAGGAAGCTTCGCAATTTCCCTTGTACTCTTCCCCCAAAGTATAAACTTTCAGGGGAGGAGGAGGAAAAAAATAAATACAAAAAGGCTTTAAAAGAAACATAATTGCATTTTTTTAAAATGTGATAACAGGTCAAGGTGTGGTTTTAAAGGACGTTTTGGGAAGGGTTACTTATTTTAAGTTTTGCTTTTTCGAAAATAATCTCTGTGCTTTGTTATTCTTCAAGTGGATAGTAAATATAATTGGAATAAACACTGGGGCTGAAATTTCAGTAACCCTGGCCGCAGATCAGAGACCTGGAGCTCCGCCACCCTCCGCTCTCCCAGGAGAAACATTCTCTAACAGGATAGAGGCAGCAGGCGGAAGAAGGACTGGGGACACAAAACACAAGCGCTTGTCCCCGCTGAGACCCTACCAAGGTCAGATGAGGCTTTGGGCCTCGGCGGAGGCATTGGCCCTACTTGCTGCCAAGTCTGAAGCTGCTGGGGCCAGGCCGCCTGCCCTGAGTGATGGACCTAAGAGAGTGACATGCCTGCCACCCTCATGGCTGCTCCCAAACCCCCATTCAGCCCCCCTTGGCTGTTTTCTGGCCCCCAGCCTTAGCCTCTGGGCATCAGGAAGCTTTCAGCAAGAGTGAAACTTGCAGCTTAGAAACCTCCCGCGTTTGGTATTTCCACATGCCACACACCATTCTAAAAGTATCGTATGTGTCACCTAATGACTTGTGACTCCTAGCTTACTAGTGAGAAAGCACAGAAACCAAGAATGTCAAAGAACTCGCCCCAGATCACACAGCTGGTGTGTGACAGAGCTGGGGCAACCCAGGCAGGCGTCTCCAGCGCCCTCGCCCTTATCTGCATGAAGAGGGGGCCCCAAAGAGCGGTGGTGAGCGGAGGTGTCACAGCTCACGGGGCAGAGCCTAGCTGTGGCCCAGGGCTCAGGGCCCTGCACAGTCGGCACCTCTCTTGGCCCTGACAGAGAGGAGACGGGAAGTGGGCAGGGCAGGGCAGAAATGCACAGGCCGTAGGGTCCTAAGAGACTTGCTACATCTCCCACACGTAGGGGAATTCAGACACACTGAGGTTCAAACCCGGCTGCCAATTTACGAGCAGTATGACTTTAGGCAACTCTCCATCTCTCTCAGCCTCAGTTTCCTCACCTGTAAAATGAGGATTATGAGCCTCTTTTTGGTTTTCCTCCAGGAAATTCTGTAAGGGTGGCAGGAAAGGATGTATGGGCAAGTGAGCTGTAAACTGTGAACTATGATTCACCCATGCTGCTCAAAGTGAGGTCCAGGGACCAGCAGCGGGGGCGTTCCTGAGAGGTTATTGGGAAGGCAGAATCTTGGCAGCTGGAGGAGGTCCTGAGCACAGGTGATGGCAGAGGACGGGCTTGTGGGTTTGGGCTGGTTGTGAGGAGGTCTGCCCACTTCCAGGGAGGGTGGAGAAGAAAGGGGGGAGACGAGAGTGAGGCTCCGTGGGGCGAGGGCCCAGCTGCAGGGAGCCCGGAGCCCAGATGCTCCCATACCACAGGCAGCCTTGCGGGCTTGCGTAGGGCACAGAGTCTGGACTCTGCTGGGTTCTGCCCACAGCCTTTGCGTCTGCTCTCCACCTTAGCTCCTCACCTGCGGAATGAGCCTCCCAATCCTCCCGGGCCTGTGCCGAGGATCAAACGTGGCGACACAAAACATTTGGACCCATGGAGGGCTGCTGAGCTCAGTGCCTGGAGCGGGCTGGGGGCAGTCTGGCTCCTCCCTGAATGCACCCTGCTGATGGGCCAAGTTCAGCCACTGAGGCCCCAAGACATCCAGCGTGACCAACTCACCCTTTTTCAAATAAACAGCCAGAGGGTCCTGATCCCTGCCCCTCACTTTCACCTGGCAGCTAAGACGTGCAAACCTGGTGGCCTTCGAGTTCCCCAATGTGTCCTGATCCTGGAAATGCAAAGAGGCTGTGTTATCATTCCGTGAGAGCTAACTCAGTTCCACAAACATTTACCGCTCTCCAACCATGGCTAGACACCGGGGCGGCAAAGATAAAGCAGAGACGGTTGCGCCTCGTTGGTCAGTCCTAGTCTGCCGGAGCACACAGACGTGGAAGCAGTAAATTCCAGCCCAGAGTGTTGGCCGCAAAGACACGTGCCCTTCAGGAGGAGGTATTTACAGAAGATGAACTCGGCTGAGAAAGGGGAGCGAGAAGAAGTTCCCAGAGAAGGTGAACCTGTGTGGGGTACTGATGTGTGAGGAAGAGTTCATCCGGCGGAAACAAGGGAGGGGCAATTTTAAGTCAAGGAAATGGCAGAAATGGAGAAAAGGAATTCTAAGGAGTTTTGAGACCTCGGTCCAGGGGTTCTCAGGGACCGTCAGTTAGGAGATGGGGTACGGTGGGAGAAGAGAGAGAGAGAGGCAGGAGCCAGCTTTTGGAAGACTTGTAGGCACACAGCGTGTGTCCAGGGAGGGTCAGGAGAAGGTCCTTGGAAATGAAGAGGTCAGACGTGCACAGACCTGGCCGTTCTCATGTAACTCTGGTCTCTCTATTTCCAGCATTCTTGCGGTGTGGGTGTGGAAGGATAAATCTGCGTTTTGTTCCCAGTAGTTTGCCCTGCCTACTCCCTCAAAGTTGCCCACATTTGCGTTTCCTGGCGGGGAGATTGGGGAGGGCAGAAGGTAACACAAAACTATTAATGGCCATTGTTCTTGGTTTTGAGAAAACCTGACCTCCCTGAAGGAACGCTGGCCTGGGGAAGGAAGAACCTTTGAGGTGGAAAGATGCCTACCGACCTCAGGAGGGCTTGAGTTGGGGTTCCATTCTACAGGAGCCCTCACTCCTTCTCGGTCAGGCCCAGGTGGGGACAGGGCGAGTGTAAGCTACATGATACACCTGGGGGGGCCAGACCCAAAGTGTGGGGCTCCTGCCATGGCAAAGAGTCCCCTCCACACCCCAAACCTGGCCCAGAAACAATGGCACCGAGACGCCTGAGGGCAGAGCGTGGACTGTGGTGTTAGCCAGGGGCCATGTGGCTCGATCACTCCTGACCAATGACCAACACCCCACCCCAGTGCCTCAGGGCTGCGCTGAGAGCCCCAGGCCCTGGAGGGGAGCCTTAAAACCCTCAAGATGGAATTTCCTGGCAACCTGATGTGTGGGTTACGCTATTAACAGCCATGGTGGTAACCATGATATTGTCACTGAGCCATTGCTCTGCGGGAGAAACTGTCCTGGGATCTTTTCCATGCATGACTTCACTCGATCCTCACAAACATCCCATGATGTGGGGGCCATTCTGACCCCCAGACCACAGATCGGGGCTCTGAGGAAGCAAGAGACAAAATGGCAAGCAGCAAGTCATGGGGCTGGGACTTGAACCCAGGCCGCCTGGCTTAGGGGCCACGTTGTCAGCAACCTTCCCTGTAAGAGAACATCTCTCGTGGGCTGAGGAGCTGGAGGGACAGTTTTTTTAACTTTTTTTTTAAGTGACCAAATCTTGTGTTTCTTGTAGACTAAAATCCATACATACTACACAAGCAGGTGTCAGATATCAGAGGATCAAATGATCAATAATCTACCAAGTTTGCTCAGAGAAATGCCGGGTGCTTCATAAGCGCTGAGTAAATGTCAGCCATTTTTGTTGTCACTATTTGTTCTATAAGCAGGTTCTGGTCCTTTCGGGAAAGAGAAGGAGTAGAATTTCTTTAAATCAGGGATTCCCAATGACCTGATGGTTGCCTAGGGAGCCACTGTCCCTGAGAGCTGTGGCCTCAGACCCCTTGGCTACAATGGACCTGAGGGAGGTCTGGACAGAAGTGTCCTGTTAGCAGAATCACTGGGCATGGACCAGCCAAGATGAGGGAACAGCATCTGGAACCCCCAGGTCACAAAGGAATCGAGTTGCTCTGCGCTGTCTGACGGCAGGAGGTGGCACCAAGGCCATGTGCTCAGTCCTGACATTAATGACAGTGCGTTCTGGCTCAGTGTCACCAGCCCACTAGCCTCTCCCCCTCCTATGTACAACCCCCATCTCCTGCTGATATATCTTAAGGCAGGTCTGAATCATGATAGCGAAAACAACAGCCCACTGTCATCTTCCCCCAGCTGTTTTAACCTTTAAATTCAATGGAGCTAACACTCCCTCCACAGTCCACTGAGTGTCGTGTGTTAGCTCCTCGCATCCTCACCGGAAGCCTGTGGGTTAAAGACTCCATTTTACAGATGAGAAGACCGAGGTTAAGGAACCTGCATGTGGTCTAATGGCCCCAAAGTGGCAGGGCCGAGATTCAGTCCAAGACCCCTCCTGCCCCTTCTCTAGGTCCAGCCCTAAAATTCAGGGTCCACCCTCCATGCTCCTTCTGAGATGTCACTTATGAATACAGAGCCACATGTAAGCACAGGTATATGGATAAAAGGCATGCGACGCATCACTACTGGGGATGGTGCAAGAATGCTAACCAATCCACGCATCCTTAACAAACGTGAGATAAATCATGTACATCCATAGGCTGGACTGGTACGCTGCCATTAAAAAGACCAAGGGTAATCATGGAAATACAGAAAGTTAAATATTACGTGCGAGAAAACAAGAGACAAGAACTATGTATTATAAAATAGTAGCATGTAAACCAACAAAAAAATGATGCTTACAAACACATAGAAATTCTCTGGATGGGTCCCTAAGGAACTAGAGAGTAAAAACAGAGGTTTGCGTGTGTTTGCCTAGTAGGAAATTAGGAGATAGGAGCATGACTTTCACCGCGAACCCTTCTGTCCTAGTTCATGGTAACAATGGAATTGCCAATATGCTACCAGCTTGAGTTAAAGGAACAGCAGTTTCATGGGGTTCTAACCACATGAATAATAAGTTAATATTTGACTTTTTTTTTTAATCCTAATCATCTTTTATTTCTACAATGGGAAAGAATTCCGGGCTCTGGGACTCAGAGGGACAGATGGTCCTCAGAGCACTTAGACGATGGCCCGTGGTATCCGGTGCATCAGCTGCCCAATGAGATGGCAGAGGGAGGGAGGGGCTTATCATTGAAATAGTCTCTTCTGACTCATGTGTCAGGAAACGATACCGCTCAGATGAATGCCCCCTTACGTCAGTTTCATCCTGAGCCAGTGCTGGTTTATTGCAGTTTCAATTTCCCAAAGTCTCATCACTTTGAAGAAACGAAAGCATCATGGAATCAGCTATTGATGATCTCATTCTGTCACCTGATCAGCTTGCTATCGATTCATCAGAGTGCAGCCGAGGCAACAGATGAGAAACAGAAACGCCACGTGGCTGCCATGACTGACCTGACCAGAGGTTGTGCAGGCGATGTTGTCACTTGTCCAAGCATAGAAATCACACGAGACATCTGGTCCCACCGTGGACACTGTCAGGAAGCTACAGGTCTCGTCCAGAGCACAGTCTGCAGACACCATAGGACAGTCACACGCCTGTGTGTCAGGTGATGCTGAGGACAGACGGACACGTCCCCCCAGCCCGTGCCCCCCAACACGTACGCACGCGCGCGCGCACACACGCGCGCTCTCACCTACGACATAAGATGACAATGACGATTCATGAATGATTGGAGGATTATGAGATAATCCTTGCACAAATACATGCTCAGTAAATGGCAGCTATTATTACACCTCACTGGCCTCACTATTAAAATGGATTTATCCCCCAAACTGGACAAATAGCCCTGCAAGGATCTAGCGCCCTTCATCTCTGCTCTCTACCCTTTAGCATAGCATTGTTCTTGCCACATAGTAGAAGCACTATAAACTCTGAAGTGAAATTATGAGGCGTTCAATGTACATATGGGGGATCGACTGACTACAAAGTGTTTCTGATAATGCATATTTTTTCATTATAGTTTTAGCGGTCCGGTTGATTCGCCTTTGCCAGAGCTACCTCCCCACCCATTTCCAGGGGCCCGTCTCCCCACCACCCTTTACCTGCCAAGCACTGCATCAGCGCGGGTTCAGAATCAGGGACCCTGGACCTGACGCCCACAGCCGCGTCGGCACTGAAGACCACCGTAGATTCTAGAGCCTTCTCAAATTTCTGCATCACTGAAAGAGAATTTGAAATTTATGAAATCTGACTCTGAAGGGTAGACGCCAAAAGGAGTGCTAGATCAAGACGTCACCGCTTGTTCATAGCCCTTGGTCACACAAGTGTTCCAAGGAGAGAATTCCCTTTTCAGGTAGTTCCCAGCATGCTGCCTTGTATGTGACACTGAGAGCTAGAACTTACCAGTCTCCCTTTTCCCACCTCATTGTCAGGAAGTGAGGAGAAAATTTAGCATTATGTTAGTCCTTACAACTCGTTTTACATTCTCATTGATACTTATTGTCTATCTAAGCTGATATTTCCGTGTTCTTCTCTTTGAGTGCTAATTATATCCTAAAATTATTTTATTGAAAATTTTCTTTCCATATAGCCACTTGACTTCTTTCTGGAAAGGGGGAAGCTATTTTTAAAATGACAAATAAAACACGTGCATATGGGTTCATGTAACTGAAAATGTGTCATGTGGCTCAGGCACTTAGGTGCCAGCATCTGTGTACGTGATATATTAGCATCTGTTTTTCTAGCTACCATCAACACAGACAGAGCTCCTGTCTGCTAGGACTAACATAGTCTCACGCTCATAGAACTAAACAAGGGAGGGAAAAGAAATACAATTTCCCAAGGCTACAAGACTTGGAACTCACTCTATACCAAGCCAAAAAGCACTGGAGGTAACTCTCCAGGAATGAGATTTATTTTCACCAGCCAAAATGCCCAAGGGTGTCATGATTTTGCCAAAAAGGACAAGGCCCAAAGCACATGAGCACTAGTTTTTTACAGACATAGCATGTATATAAGCACTCATTCTCACACACACCTATTTCTTTATAAAAGAGACTTGTGTCTAGGTTGGTTTTCATCATGCCAATAAATTCAAGGTCATCCAAAACAATCTTTTCTCAGCTTTCATAATAAGAGCAGAAAAGAAAGTTTATTCCTTTTGGGATCAGCTTGGGGGAGGAGAGTATTAATACAACAGAAATGATATGTTTTAAGCTTTCAAAATTTTTGATATAGAAAAGAATTCTAATTTTACAGAGTGGTTCTTTCACATTGATCATTGAAGTTGCCAAGTTCATGTACTCAGCCCATACTCAACCCTTCTGCTCTCATCACTTTCTCTTTTTTTTAATTTCTTTATTTTTATTTCTATATTCCTTGTTACCATGTTTGTAGAGACTGCAAGCTCAAGTCCAGCAAACACCATGCACACTATATGCAGCCGAGTGCCCCTACAGCTTAATTGGTACAGACCAGATGCTCACAACATCCTAGGAGACTAAATCAAATTTGAAAGGTCTGTTTCCAAGTCAAGTCCTCCCAGTAACCTAACATGCAGTGAATTTAGTATTTCAGTCAGAAAACCTGTTGGTTTGGAGAAAGGACCTGCTGGTGGTAGAGACCTTCACATTGTAGCATCCTATGAAGAAGCTCATGGCCAACAGAACAGAAACATCCCATGAACTGAGCTGCCAGTGATTCCATGGAAAGTCGAGTTAGCCTGCAAATTCATATATTCTGTTGTATAATTCCCCACATGCCTAATTTCTACTGAGCAGGTATTTACCAAGGTCTTGGGTGTGTTTGATCATGGTTCTCACACAATGCATCATGACTATGTATGTGCCTATGTGTTTCCAAGACAAGGACAATGTTCTGAGAATATGTGAACCTCCACTAGCTAGGACAGTGATAGAGATACTAGTTTCCTGTTTATTGGATGGATGGATGGATGGATGGATGGATGGATGGATGGATGGATGGATAAATGACTGCCAATATCATCACAACACCAGGGAACCTGGAAAGAACATTAGGAAGGTGTTCTCTGAGGGTCTCAGTTTTCTGCTTGTGAGGATTAAGCAGACTAGCATAAAAAACCCAGTACACAGTAACAATTTAGTAAGTGCCAGGTCCCTTTGCTCCCAAGGGCACTCTGCCTAAGTGTAAGGGCTTGTAAAATTGGCCACAAAGAATTCGGGTTATGGGAGAGTCTCCTTGCCTGGTGACCTTTAGGAGAGAGTTTCAAAGAAGCCCAGATAACTGGAGCAATCCATTCATTCTGACAAGCAGCACTTGCTATGGAATAGAACAGAGAGTAAGGTACAAGTCTAGCCCCCAAGGACAGCACTGTTTAATGAGGCCAGAGTCCAGAGCGAAGGCTGAGGTGTGCAGTGTTTCTATACTCTGAGGGCATGCAGGCCACGGAAGAGTTGGCATGGGCATTGCATAAACTGAATTGTCTGGTAAAATAATTGCTCTGAAGCATCGTGGGAAACTCATTGGAAAAATGCCGACTGGAGCAGACATGAGTTAGGAGGCTACAGTGTAACCCATGTGGGTGATAACCCAGGCCTGGACACAGTAGGGGAAAAGTGGGGGTGAGGAAGGGACATTTCCCTCGATGCCTTTTGCTTTTTCAAGAGGTCAAAAGCCTCAAAAACGAAACTGCAATTTCCCTCCCAAAGAGAAAGACTTTCTCAAAGGCAAGTTGAAAGGATTCTGAGAGGCCGGCTGACATCCCCGTGGGGAACCCGCTTCTTCACAGGGAAATCCTCCTGCATGTCCAGAGAGGGCGAGTTAAGCTCCAAGCTTTGCATAGGAAACCGAAATGCTGAGGACCAATCTGGAGGCCCCTGTCAGTGGTGCCTCAGGGGGCGTCCCTGCAGCTGGCAAAGCTGAGCCCTTGCTCATAAATGCTGCCAGTGCCCTGATGACACCGTCCTTTTCACTTCAGACGAACACAGGGCAAGAACAAGCCAGGAGGTACTTTACAAAGTTCCCGGATGATCCCCGAAATAAAGCCATGGACAGGGACGCAAAGAGAGCTGGAGTGCAGATGCAAGCACTTGGGTGACAATCCCATAATGACCAGGAATCACCAGGGGCCTTGGGCAAGTGGCTTCCTATCTGTGGACATCCTCTCCCTCAATTTTGAGGGACGGAAAAGATCTGCCTAC